TTTTCAGGTTAAGTATAATACTTTTAGTTTATAATTATATGCTGCATATACAAACAACACATATATACAAATCAAAAAAAATGAGTTTATCTAGTGAAGCAAAAAAATGTCTTTGTGAATCATTACAACAATAGTGCTTAAATCAAAAGTCAGCCGAATATAATGAAGCAAAAAGGCTTTTTATGGGTTTAACGGATCTTGACTATGAACCTGGCTATAGAGAACATATATTTTATAAATACTGGCTTGTATCCAGGCCTGAAGGGCGACCCTAAAGGGTTATGGCCATACTGATAAAAATAATATTGCACTTTTAGATGTGTATCGACCTGAAGATATTTATTCTCAATATATAATTCGGATAGTAGGAAAAGAGTATACAATAATTGATCATCCTACAGAAGTTTATAGAATATCTGATACTCATGAATGTATTGATGGTAACCAGCCTCTTCATTTGATTATTGATATTGATGCAAGGCAAAAGCCTGATCTTACAAATCCTAAAGTGCCTTCTTTAGATGATAAAAAAATTACACAAGAAGATTTGTTATCTCGAATTTTAGTTGCTTGTGCAGATGCATTAAGCCTTATTTCTGATTGTATGCCTTTCTTAAATTCTTTTGCTTTAGCCAGTTCATCAAATGCTGAGAAATGTAGTTGGCATATTATTTATCCTCGTGCCCGATTCATAGATTATAGAGAACTTAAAGGATTTACAGAGAAAGTTATAGAATTAGTTAGAGAACCTTATTCGAAATTTATTGATAATGGCCTTCTCAAAACACATTTTAATCTTCGGCTTCTGGGATTAGCGAAGGAAAGTTATATTTAAAAGACTTGCTATTTCTTCTGTTAAAAATGGATTTAAAAATCTGGATGATTATCTAGTTTAGCCTAAAGAAAATTATTCTGTAATCTGGCCACAGACTTTTTCAGAAGAAAAACCAACAAAAGAGGAATTCACACCAATTGCCAACAATTGCATTGATTGCTTTTATAGCTAAGTTGAGATCTGGTATTTCTTTTGCACGAGACCTAAAGCCAAAGAGCAATAAAGCTTGACTTTGAATTTCTATAAATTTTTCATAAGATGCCTCAAATGCAACATTTACCCGATCATTAGAGAGAATGCATTTATCATCTATACCTATAAAACTAAGTGACTGTAAAAGCCCTCGTACAGCTTCCTAGTGATTCGCTAAATATGTTTTGCGTAAATCTTTTGCTACCAAATTCTCAAAATTATTTTTACATTATAGCAGGTATCTTCCCATTGTGCGATATCTTTGGCTTTTAATTTTTCTATTGCACTCTCTTCATCATAACCTTGCTTGTAAAAATGAGATAGACACAAGAAATGTTTTCTAGGTTCGGGTGGACTAAAATGTTCTACAAAATCCTTATCGTAGAGTTTATTCTAATTCTCGATACTCATACCAGTTCCACCATAAAGATTCCACATATAAAAATGCTTAAGTGCTATGGTATCTGCAACTGAACGTTCTGAATTGAGTTTAAGGGATTTAGCTTCCTCAGGAGTAAGATTTCGAGAAGTGACAATTGTCTCAAAATCTGTATGCTTGATAACTGATACTTTGGCCCTATTTTCATTACGAACTGTTTTACGAATTCCTATAACTTTTTGAGTTTCATCCAATTTTATTAATTTAAGACTTGCTCCTGTACTGGCAATAAGACTACATGAAATCTCGATAAAATTTCTGGTTGAAAGATGTTTCTGGTGCTCAACTTCAATAAATGATGTTACAGCAGAAGAATGATCAAGTTTATAGAAAACGCTATCTATATCCCATTCACGATGTCCTTTAATTGCTGTAGATAAATCATTAGGCCAGGCAACTGCAAGTTCTGTCCGAATATTTTCATGACCTGGTAAACGAGAAAATTCACTGGAAATTTTTTGATAATAAAGAGAAAGTATATGCTTTTCACAATCACGAATTCAGAACATCATCTGGATAAATGCTTCTATATTAACTGGAGTTCCAATATTTGTAATGCCTATAACTATATCAAAGTGATTAGATTTCTTGAAAGAAATACCTGCTTCTACTGTGTTTATATAAGCTACACAATCAAGTTCACCCCAAGCAGTATTAATATCTAAAAAGTCTTTTTTTTGCTATTTTCCATCCATGTTTCCATAATAGGTATGAGCTTTGAAAGATAATTTAGAAGCTTCTTTTACTAATGCTCGAGCCATATTAGAGCTTGTTATAACAAATGCCACACGTTTGCCTTGTTTCAAATACTCAAACCTTATTCGCATAGCTTCAGCCCTGCTATTTGGGTCGTAAAGATACTCAACAGTCTTTCCTATAAATGGTTAGAATTTATTA